TCGGTAGTAAATGGCACACACTGCAGCATGGCCAACGGACCCAAAACGTAGATACTCAGTTATTATTTACAGGTCTCCTACTGATAAACAGTTCAGGGCTGTAGAAGAGAAGGTTTTGAGAAAGAGATTCCTGAAAACCAAGCACTGCCAAGAAGTGTTCCTGTGCACTGCAGCTGCATCTAGATTTTTAAGCTGATAAACAGCCCCTGGTGTCACGTTGGCCCATGCCAGCCTGCGCTGTCCCCCGGCGCAGCCCGGAGGGTTGTCCCCAGGGGCAGTTTGTGCGGGGTCGGCTGCTGCGGCAACACAAGCTGCTCAATGGACGGACGTGGGGCACCCCGTGCCAGCTGGCAGCGGTGCCAAGGATGGAGCCCTGTTAAAGCCACCAGCACTCCTTGTGTGCTTGTGGCATCAGGAGCCGCTGCCTTCTCCTCCTGCTCCTTCTCCTCCTCCTCGCGCCCCCGTAAGCACCGCTGAAGTTCGATGGAACAGGGAGATTTCAGACATCCCCTCTTCTTGCATCCCTCTTGGCAAGTGTATATCCCATGCCACATGCGTAAGTTTTTCCATTTAGGAAATGGAGAATTCATGCTTAACTTTGGTTCAGGAATTGCAGAGCCTCAAAGCCTCCAGGATAAACCTGTTTCATAATCTGGACCACAGTGTTTAAGTTTTCAAAATGATACTGACTTTGTTTTTATTACATTAAATTCCTATATCTCAAAGTTATTTTGTGTCTGTGTGTACAGAGGAACATGTACTTGTCTTTCACACATACTTTAAACTCATCAAAAGGTTTGCCAAAAATTGCTCTTTGCTCTGTATTAAGAGCAAAGCTACACTGAGTGTTACAGTTTTTGGAAATTACAGCATTTCTTGATGAAAATCACTGTGAATTTAGAGCAGTGGCACTACAGCACAGGAATGACCAGAGCATCTTCAAAGCCTGACTGTTGAGTTGGTGAAAATCTTGTCATTTTCAGGAAAAACACTTCTGTGCACTTTTGACACCAGCCATTGTTATGACACATTCCTGGGGCCTTCTCCAAGCTGCTGCATTTTAGCCAGGGAATGGAGTGAGAGTTATTAAATCTGTGCTCCCAAGTGCTGTGCTGACAGTTCCCAGAATGCACTTCTTTTTTTTTCTGGATCTCCGGGAGAGTCCTTCTGGCAATCTTTAATAAGAGCCACTGGCAATTTAATTCTATGAATAAAACCACCACCTCCAGGAAGAGCAGCAGGGCTGGCTTCTCTGTGCTCACAGTTCCTGTCAATGCCAAACAATGTCGTGACGAGAGATGCTCCATCGCAGAAAACATTGCAGAGAAAACAGGGGACATTGACAAGTAATAAGAAAAAGATGAAAATAATTTTCTCCAAATCCTATGCATCTGTGAAGATGCTGTCTTTATCATGAACGCAATGACAACGTAGCTAAAAAAACAAAACTAACCTCGCCTCCCCCTCCAAAAAAAAAAAAAGAAAAAGAAAGGAGAGGGGTGGTTCAAGCTACCACTTAGACAAATTTACACAATTTTCTCTTCAATTTCAGGAAATTGTTAGTTACAGGTCAATATCATCACTCAATAACACTTGAGTATTACATTGCCGTTATTTCAACTTACATATTTCGTGGAAGATAATTCTCAGCACTGACATGAAAATGGAAAATCTTTCTGATGTTTTCTGTGAAAATAAGTAGAATAACATGTTGAACTGAGCAGATTAAGCTTTTGATTAGCACACGCTTGCATGTGGTTATTGCAGTATGTATTACAGCCAGTAAAGGAAACTAGGAGGAAATTCTGCTCCCAGCTAACTGGAGACACATTCCCAATTGTCACTAAGTTGCATGAGTCTTAGTGAAGCAAAATCTATAGTAAGTAGTTCAGTGTGCGCAGTATGGACCAAACATCAAGGGAATATATCTGAAGGCAAGATTTGCCACTGATCTCGTGCAGTTTTCTAGTCAAACTTCTTCACAATAAGTCAACTTTACACACTATTCTGTTGTGCACACACCCGAGTCTTTGGCCTTAAGAGTTTTTAGTGCAATTTAATCCCTTGTAGATCAAATCCTTCACTGTGTAATTCTGTGCAGGATATATGGATCTCGCATATTGGAGGATAGAGCATTTGTATGCCACGATCAAAACCTGGATAAATGCAGGTTCTAAAAAAAAAAAAATCAAAATATTTCTGTTCGGATTCCTGATATGAACTGGCTTATTTTGAGGGAAGGGAAAGGGAGGAGAGGAAAATCAGACTCTTCCCTATTTGTCTTTCACCAAAGCATCTAAAAAATGTCTGTGAAACTTAGCATTTTTATTTACTTGAATATGAAATTATTTTGGACATCTTTACTTATTTCAGCATATAAATGATGACAAACTCCTGTGGCACATCTGTGATGTATGTATTCTGTGCCAACATATTCATGTAGCTTGCAAGGAGGTGGGGATCCTTCTCACAGCCACCTATGAAATCTTACCTGCATATTGCGAGCAGCACCCTCTATTCCTCAAAACACAGGGGATGGTTCCTATATAGAGATCATGGCCCCTTTATGGAGAAAAAAAAAAAAAAGCCTCTTGAGTGCTCTTCACTCTACAGCACAAAACAAAGTGTTGAGTGAGGTAGTCATCTTACCAGAGGTAACACTAGTGGTAATAGTTTGAAAGCTTTCTAACTGTGGATTCATTCATCTCGAGACACAGCAATATTGCCACTCTCTATCAATTTTTAAATCATCTTTGAGATCAGAGTACACAAAGAAGGACTCAGTCTTGCTAAATTTAAAGCAAGCCAACTATACTCCTGTCCAGGTGTGACTGTCTGGCACCTCTGAATCAGAACATACAGCTGCAGTGTTCTGATATAAATCTTTGCAGTATTTTGGCTATTCAAGGAACAGCAGACAGATAACAGAGACCCATGCTATTAAAACATTATATTTTCTACAGACACTATGTTTTCCTTAAAAAAATAGAAAAAAAAGCGTTTCTGGAACAATAGCAAAGGTTGATCCTATGATCTTAAACCATGTCAGCACTACGTAGGAACCTAAAATTCATCAAATGCTGGCAGCAGACATCACCCTACTGATCTGCTCCAAAAATGCTGATACATTTACAGTAAATCCCTAACCAGGCCAGTTGTGCAACAAGCTGAAGTGACACAAAGTATTAACATTTATGGTGGTGAGTCAAAATCAAACAAACATCCTTCTTTTATAAGCTTTCTCACAGCGTGTAGTAGCATGTAGTTTAATTAATGAAACATCTGTTACAGGCCTAACTCTCTTGCAACTGAGCAAGTGTTGCAATGATTCTCTAGAGCTGCACTTCACGTTAAGGCTTTAGTGGATAGATGAGAAATATCAGCTATGGCCAATGCTTAGCTCAGTTGATTCTGGGGAGAATAAAATAAAATAATAAACCTTCAAGAGCCAGCTTTCCTCAGTAGAAAATCAGAAAGTGTGTTTTCGTTATGTTGAAAAATGTCCCGAACTAATCTTAACTTCAGAGTAAGAGTCTTATTTCAATGGTACTTGCGACTGATTCAAGTGCCCAGAGTGACCTTTTCAGCAGATCTAGGTATAGCCTGATCCTGTAGAAAATGAATTATAAAATATGCTTGGGTGATTCACTCTTTTATAAAGTAGTATCCGTAATGGTCCAGATCCTGTGCATCTAGTTTTAAAGGCCTCTACACATGCACATAGGTCTCACTGACTCACTTACAGTTCATCATACTGTTCATGGTGACACAAGACTCATTTTTCCCCACTCATCCCCACAGTAACTTCTGCTGCTGACTGCAGATTTGGCCCTGTTTGCTCTGCAGCAACAAAAGTTAGGGCAGAGCTAACAAAATGGCTGTGAGTCAGAAATTAAAGGCTTGATGCTGCAAAGTATATACTTATTAAAGATAGACACATTCTTATTTCCGATCAATGCAAATAGATACTTAAAAATACTTATTTAAGGGCTTTGCTGACAGGACATAGTGATTGGTTTCTATGAATGCTTTGCTAAATGTTAATGTTACCTGTTTAAAGGTAATGACTTCTGGAGATGAGTGATAATTTCAAACTTTCCTTTTCAATCCTAAAAGTAATTACAGAATTAGGACACTTTTTTTTTTTTTTTAAATCAACAAATAATTTGATGTAGAAAAAAAGAACTTGTGTATATAGTAAAAATTGCAGAAAGGTTTCCATAACAAAGGCTTTCTATTATAAAAGGAGGCTTTTGTTTAGAGCTTGCTCAACTTAAAGCCTTTAGGCAAGTTTCTGAAGTAGACATGAAAAGTTTGCTTCTCATTTACTGTATTTCTCAAATATGCTCAGAAATGGTCAGAGGAAAATTCACTTGGCCTCCTGCTTTAATGTGTTTTTCTCCAAGAGTGTGTGCAGAAGCAGAGTTAATGATTCCTACAAGCTCAGTCTGCCTCACCCTCTCAGTTCTGCAATACTTGCTCGGTATTTTTTTTCAAGGGAATAACTTTTCCTGCTCGTTTATGACCCCAGATTGCTGATCTGACCCCATCTGTAATGCGATACTGAAACCCTTCAATCAGAACAGGGATATCTGTGTAGCACCCACAGAGATTAACAGAAAGTTCAGCTCCTTTGAATTCTTCCCCTAATCCTGCCAGAAAAAGAATTTAACATCAAGAAAACAATAAAGTAACACAGTCAGCAATGTACAGTTACCCTGCAACAAGCTTTATGGACCGACTTCATTCTTGTCCTTCCCTCTGCTTCATATCATTACGTATTTTACCATGACAGAGTTTGAAATTTAAGCTCTGGGTCAAGCCTGTCTGCAAAGTTCACCAAATCTGGTTCTCAAAACCAGTCAGAATTATACAGTTTAGGAAACTTAGAATTTTGCAATTCAAATGCTTTTCTGTCAGAGAAACAGAGTGTTTCTATCATCTTCCAATTCCATCAAAAGTAAGCAGAAATAATAGACTTTGTTGTATCAAACGGACTCTATTATTTTTATTAAACAGTGTTACACATACAGGTTAATTAAAAAAGCTACAGTTCACAAAATATGTGCCTCTAGCTAGAAGATACAAATCTAGGCCAATTGTCATTATATCTGTCGATGTTCAGTCACTGTAAAGTTTTACAGCTTATTCTCAGATATACAAAAACACATGCTTTGTTAAAACGTTCAGTACAACTCACAGCATTCTACTACACAGCTTCATATAGGGTTTTAGTGCAAAAGGAAGTACAAATATAAAAATACTGAAGTTTGAATTAAAAAAAAAAAGCAGGAAGTTAGAGATGAGTGTCTGCTATAGGTATTCTTCTAAGCTCTACGATCTGGGAGTTCGCCATGCTGCCGCCATCCTGGCTGCCGTGGCAAGAATCATTATCACTGACGCTGAGACCTGCACCTGGAACACAGAAGCCAAAAGAAGGATCAGTGGGAAGCACAGAAATGCTCATTCCACCTCCTAGTATGTAGCTGCTCGGCTTCACTCGCATTATTGAAATTCTTCCCTTCCCCACAAGAATACAGCAAGTTTTCCCTTCCCGGTCAACAATTCCGAATTCACAGTCTGTAACTCCACTGACGTAGTTTCGTACCATCCAGATACACTTTTCCATACTTCCACTGTCAGTCATTTTCATTGTCTCAGTTAACGGCACAATAGCTATTCAGAGGTTGCCTTGAAATCACAAAAGTGTAAAGGAAGGCTTGGTTTAGACTGGGTTCTTGGTCTGACTGTTAAAATCTGCTATTTCCAAGAATTTCTTCACAAAGAATTTTTAATCATATAATTTCCTTGTTAAAGTGTAATTCCAGCTGTTTTAATACGATTGCAATTTCAACATTAGAAAAGACGCTGTCTAAATATTCCTAAACCCACATTTGGCTCAGGCTCGTGTATTGTGCTTTTCTTCTGTAGTGAGAGAATATGAGACTTGGGTTTATGGAGACTTCCAAGACATATCTGGAAGAGACCTCAAGAGGCCACCTTGTCCATCCTTTTACCCAAAGAGTACTGCTAGCAAGTTGCCTCCTTGTACTTTTGCAGTTGGATTATTCATGTGAAGGTAGTTCATTTTCTGAAATGTGCATTTTTTCATACTACTTCTTCATGGAGTATCTGTTGGAAGTATAAACTTCAGTGTGCCTTAGGTCCTTCTGTGTTTGCATTGCAGAATAAATTAAAAACAAAATACAAAGCTCTTGTTAGGCATTACAGCGCTTGGGCTTCAAATTTATTCAGAACTGCACATCAATGTAATTAGGTGTGATTTCAAAACAGACTAATGTCAGATATGATCTTCCAGCAATGTCATTTACAAATAGCCAAAAGCTAGGAACCTTATTCCATTTGGAGAAAAGTATCTGATCCGTAGCTACATTCCGCTCAGCGGAGTTACAGAGCAATGACATTTGACTCAACAAGCATGGTATCCTGGGACAGGCAAGGATTTATATTTTTATATTAAAAAGATTCCTCAGAAATTCCTATCAGCTGTACAGCGGAATCTGCTTTTTCCCTCTTAGCTGACATGCCAGGCTTTGGCTTGCTTGGCAAAAAGTAATTTCAGCTTTTGGAGCTACCTCCTAATTTTTTATGCCTCCAATTGCTCCACTTCTATTAATTTTTTCATAACTTTCCTCCTGCAGAGTGGAAAAGAAGTTAGCAGAAGGGCAGAGTGGTCAAAGGGAATGAGGATGCTCACTTGCTCTAAGAAGTGAGGCTGAAATCTTGAATGTGGAGATGGGTTTAGAAAATAGAACAAACTGCAAGGTTGGAGCAGTGAAGAGACCCAGGGGCATAACTACAGTGAAACAGAGTTTACTGGAAAGAGCCTCAAGCTAGTGGAGACCTGCATAAGGCTTTCCACTCTGCAGGCTTTCCAGAATAGATCTGGTCCAGGTACGAGGCCCTTAACTCATCAGCAGTGCTGCACAAACACAGCGTGTCGCATCCAGGCAGAAAGTGGGATTTCTGCACCATGATCCTTCTCACATCCAGGTCTGGAGTTTGGGTAAGTGAAATGATGCTGGATTTATTCACATCTGCTAGTTTACACATGCTGTTGGGTCTGCATGACCCAAAGTCTTTACAGACCAGGGATTACTGTCAGATATGACAAGAGTAAAGAGTTACCTGATGGACGGAGATATCATAAAAAAGACAGAAACATTCTTACCTATGACCTTGAACAAGCAAGACATAATTGCTTGCTTGCCATACTTGCTCATCTATAAAGTTACATGCATTTTTGAGCTTTTCTTTGAATCATGATCCTATTGACTAAGCTGTTAGAAAGTCCTGTTAGAAAAACAGCAATTGCATCAGGAAATGATTTTTTTTTCTTAACCTCTCTCAAACTGTTTTAGAATAGAAACATGAGTGAAATAATGGTAATAGAGAAGGTAAATCAGGCTATTATATTTACCATTTGATGACAGAAGAATAAGGTAGTATTTGTGAAGTAAAGGAGATACTTTAAATGGAAGAACATAAAATATTTCTTATATAGCATCATTAGCATTAAAACTTATGCTCAAAACTTTCATCTAGGCTACAAATGGTACAGATTTCAAAAAGGAAAAACATAAAATGACTGAAGACATTTACACCTATATTATAAAAAAATTTCTTTGCATATATTCACAAGCAAACATCTTCAAATGCTGGAGTAAGAAAGATACTTCTCTTGAAGATGATTACACTGCAGTTGTTTAGTGTGGGCTTCTTTGCGGAATCTAGTGGTGGTCACTGTGCAAAGATGAGATACAGGAGACACCAGACTAATCTGGTGTGATATCACATATATTCCTGAATGTCACACACACACACTTTGTGCAAAGTTAGAGGTGATTGTTTTGGGTTAAGCAGTTTCTTATCAGGACCTTGATACATCTGAGGTTGAAGTGGTCTACCTTGGCCTTACAACCGCCTCCTTCTCCTGCTGATCCATGGGCAAGTATTTAAGAGCAGATCCTTTTTAGGAATGAAAACTGAAATGTAACCAGGATACTGAACTACCAAACAACTGGCAGAGCAGGAAGGGTAGGACTGTTTACATGGTGCTGTTTCATAGAGTTCATAGGTCCAGCTTGTTCCCAGATCACAGCACAATTTAAACGCAGGCATGTCCAAAAAAGTAGGTGGATGGTGGATAAGTAGCCAAGAGTGCTATTTTTTTCCACAGTTTGTGAAGCAATTATTTCAAGAAGAGTACAAAAGAAAATGCGGCCTTTTCTTCCTTTTGTATCAAAGGACTATCTCTAAATTGAAAAGTCACGGCTTGCTTTGCAAAACGAGCAAGATCCCTCCAGTGACATCTACTGGTTGCAACCCTTAATCAGCACATTCCAACACTCGGGGAACTCCAGTTGTTATCAGTTAATTGACAATTTAATTAACGATTTAATCACAAATTTGCACTACAACATTTTAAGGGAGATGGAGATTGCTTTGTAATTACAGTATTCATACTTGTAGGGATTTATTATTTATCTCATGAGCACTTACATCTTACTTTTCTAAGTCACTCCTGAATTGTATTGCATGTGTAAAATGTACAAGACATAAAATTAATATGCTACATAGACAAAATTTATTTCTTCCGTTAGAGCCTTGACCCTACAGACATGAGAGCAACAGACATCCAGACTTCTAAGAGGAAAGTTCAGATTTGATTAGAAATGCTTCCTGGATCTTACGGAGTCATGTTCAACATCCAGATGTTAGCAAATTTGTGAGGAATCACAAATGAGCGGAGGAGTGAATAACAGACTTCCTCCCCTATTTCTGTGAATGCCGCTTCAGAATGGGGAGAAGTAGCAGGGCACAGGCAGCAATCCAGCACTTTGCTGCCATCCAGCATGGATCTGTTTTGTAAGCATAAGACTTGTCTCCAAGCCTTGGAGAGCAGCTTGTGGCTTTGCCCAGATTCTACCTATTTCTGTTCAGCTGGATCCCTTTTTTAACTACTGAAACCTATCCAACATGTAAAAAGTCCTTAGTTCTTACTAACCAGGAATCACTTTTATAGTGGGCTTTAGCCTAAATTACTGGCACCCACATAGTACTCTGATATCGACCTGGAAGGTGAGAGTCCCATTAAATTGTCTAGTAATATAAACCTTACAAAAGAAATCACAGAGACAAATGAAATCTAGTCCAAAATAACAGTTTTAAAAGCCATAAATGAAATAAAGTAAATCTTCTAAGTCAAACTGATTATCATCCCGGGGGGAAAAAAAAAAAAAAGTTTTAGCATGTATCAATAGGCAGAACATATTCCTAGATTTTCTTTCCTGCAATAATCTTACATAATTTCCCTCATAAAAACTGCCTTGGAGCTTACTAACTTTCCAAAGGCTTATCATGGCATAACAGAGTTACATGCTGTGGGCACAATGAATCCTAATTATTTCTTTCTATATGGGAATGAGCATATTTGATGGAAAGGATAAATTCTCAGAGGCCAGTGTTTTATGACACAGGAAGACCAGCTTTTGGATTTCTGGCACCAAATAAAAATGCTGCTTCCATATGATGTGAAGTTTGCATAAAGCAAGCATAAAAGCTGGCCAAGAAAACATTGTAAACTGTACATTTTTTACCCAGCAAGAAATGCAGTTGGGTGCCTCACCTGATGCAGTCTGCATTTCTGGTTAATCTGTAATTAGATTCAGTACTCAGTATTAATGATTAGGACCTGAGGGCTAAGTGCATAGTTCTACAACACATTTCTTTAGCAATAAGGCCAGCTGTGCCAACGTAGCTATTTGCAGATTGGCATCTCAAGCAGTAATGTACCAAACTGCTGCAAGTTTAGGGAGAAAAAATGCTGTGCAGGCTTGATTTTTTCAGCCTGCATCGTTTCAGTCATTTGGTTTACAGCCACAAACGCATTAATATCACTGAGAGTGGCAAACTGCATTGCAAGGGTGGGGCATGAGGGCAGGAATGAGATTTTAGCTTTGCTGACAGCAAAACAGATCCACGAATTATACCCTAATTTTCACTGATCGTGGCTGCCAGATTAGGCCTCGGGGCTACAGACCATGAGCATAAAGAAAACCTCAGACTGCTCCAAATTACATTAGCACAAAGGACAGATGAAGTGTAAAAAGGCATAAAGACATTTCTGCATATCCCTCAATTAGTGTGGATCCTCAGCCAACCTCTAGATTAAGAGCTAATGTTTTAACATAGCTAAAACAGAGCTCAGTTATAGATTGACAGTTTTAGGGAATGACAAAGAATGAAGGTTTCTGCTTCTGGTTACCGTGGGTAAAACTCGAGCAGTAACAGAACCAGCTTTCGTATTTTGCCACTGTAACCTGAAGCAATACCTTGCAGTTTCAGAGGTGACAAAACAGCTAATGTGGTGCAAATCACTTTCCACCTACTTTCCCAGGAGCTGGGATGAAAGAATTCTCAATCTACTGAAATAAAGTCACCTAAACAGGCTAAGAAGCACTTCATAAAGTAGAGGACTAACAGTGTGCCCTGAAGAGAAGGTAGCAAGAGGCAACTCGACTGCCCAAACATTTCAGCCCATTTAAGAAAAAGGCTGCTGGGCGCTTGGTTGCTGACTCCCATTTACTGTCTTTGAGCTGCTACTGGTTCACTTCACCAGCTGAGCTGGACAAAGGCACCAAGCTGTTAGAGTGGAGTGGAGAGGAGCAGCAAGGGAAGAGACACAGAAGGAGAGGAGAAAGAGGAAGAACTCTGACTACAGTTCAGCAAACACTTAAACAACAAAAGCTTGTACTGTACAAATCGAGAAAAAAAATCCCACTTTCTATCACCTTTTACCACTTTTAACTGCATCCATGCACTTCCCTCCCTTGTATCAGAGGCACTTTGATTCCTTTAAAAGGCACTGAACTGGACTGGAAAGCAGATGTGACTATTAAAAAAACAAAACCAAAACAAAACTGTGTTTCTTATTTTTAGTAAAAAGCACTTTTTTTTTTTTCACTTGAAGTCTTTGTTGAGCTACAGTTGAGCTCTATTGGAGGCAGTACCTAACAAACATTTACTTTGGTGGTTAGAGCTGCTCTAGCCACAGCTCTCCCCCTTCAGTCTGGCTTGTTCAGACGTCTGTGGGGCCGGAACCAGAGCAGAGCACTGGAGAGGAGCACTGGTTGGGCTTAGAGATAATCCCTTCCTCCCCTCTGACACTGCTGAGGGCAGGCTTCAGGCAAAAGAGTCAGCGCTGCAGTGGAACAGGTGATGCTTGCACTAGTAATGCGATCCAAAATGTTCTCTCAAACCACGCCCTGAGTGCCTGCTTAAAACCCTCCTCATTCAGAAGGCTTGTAAGAACAATTACAGCAATTATTAATAAATAAATATAAATGGCATTCACAAAAATTTAGGAAAAAAAAATCAAAGTTGGTTTTAGATCTGACTCTTCTAACAGGACAGAGTCTAACTAAGGATTGAACTTGAAGATTTAAATAAAAAACCAAAACATTAAATGCTGTATCAGGTTTTGTTGAATTCTATCAGCCATGAAGTTTAACTGCTACTGCTGCCTGCTAGACTGGCCTTTGACATGATCACACATGACTTAAGGCTTAGCTTTCCACACACTGTGGAGTGTTTACTGCAGTGAATAGGCCAACCAGTATCAACTGAGCTGCTTAAGACATCAATACACTGTGGTGGATGAAGGGAGTATTAAATACTGATGTGTTAAAATGTACTAGTTAAAAATCTTCTGAATTCTCTGGTTTCCTTTAAGATATTCAGACAGTGGAAAATGAAAGATAAAGTCAAAGGTACATACCTGGGTACTTACAGGGTTTGCAAATCTAAGTTTATGCATCCAGGCTTGAAAGTCTTGCCCCAAGCCTTTAACATTTTATTACATAGCAGCAGATTGCAAACAAAGTATATGTAGGTTTCAAAATATCCAGGTAAAATAATACAAGAATACAAATTCTGTGACAATGTGTATAAAAACTTGTTTTTCTTAACACTGCTTCAGTTATTTATTGTCCAATTAACTTCTCAATCAAAAGAGCTTTCTGCAACGGAAACAGTCCTAAGAAATATAGTAGTATGATTAAAACGGCTCCTCCATTAGCAAAATTCTCAGGCTTCCATGGAGGAAGAAGGAAAGGTAACTCCTGAAATTAGCAGCAAGCTGTCACAGCACTTTCACCTGCTAATTTAGCCAATATCTTGACCTTGCCGTCTTGAAGGCTCCATGGTATTCCAAAAGATCAAGCAAATGCCCTCCAGTCATGTGCCTGAGTACCTTACCAAGCTCATCCCTTTGTATTCCTCCTGGTGCCTGGGGCCGTGGGCTTGGGTGGTGTGTGCCAGATCTTACCAGTGACATTCTTTTACCTTGTCATCTGTTATCAGGTGTGCATTTATTCAGCCTAAAGCCACGCCTTGGCTATCAATTTATATTATCATCTCTACCATCACTTCAATGACCTGAAGTTTTGCTGGTGGGCTTTGGTGAGAGAGAAGATGAGCAATACTTAGCTGAGAACCCTGAGGGCAAAGAGTGGCATTTTGAAGACTTGAACTCCAGGGCAATTGAGAGGAATCTGATTAGAAAGGACTTGTTTTACAAGCGTATCTTGAGCGTGGGCACCTAGAGTGGCCTCCATCCCTTGTGTTCTCCAGCAGCTTTGTGAGCTAATCAAGTTGTCTGTTGTGCTTGGGCAGAAGTTCAGGAGTTTAACTTTCTAGGGTAGAACATTTTTTCAAGCCTAAATGTGTATCTGGCATGGAGAAATATAAATATTTTGTTCTATACTTTTAGGGAGAATCAGTAATTATGAAATAATGCTATTTCTCACAAATACACATCTAATAAAGACATGTAGAATATATATATACCACATGTATGCACTTAAAAAAAAAAAAAGGAACAGAAGATAAGACCACCAATGGCTTGGTGGAGGCAGTAAGTTAGTACTTAAGTATTTATGGAAAAGTGTTCAAGCCTCCAGTTTGTTGCTAGTTTCTGTAGGTCTGTTTATCATCATGACTCAAATGGTATTTTTTCAGATTATTTTTCTTTATTATTATAGATAGTCTGCACAGTATTTTTAGCTCATGGAATAATAATTGAAGCCAAAACAATTTTGCTTTAGATTTTCACTGGTAATTAGATTACATTAACAGCAACTGAATCTCATGGAATGGTGACATTGCTAGAAGGAAGCACAGAGCAGTCTTCAAGAAATGAGAAGTGTCACTCACCAGTCTTTAAAGCAAATATCAGGTCATCAAATTCCTGTGATTCCTCATCAGCAACCAGCGAGCTGTTACTAAATCCTCCAGAAGGGTGGAAGACATTGCCATTTTGTGGACTCGGTGTGAAGGCAGCACTAGCTTGACTGGCAGGCTGCAAGGAAGCCCTCTCCCAGTCTGCTGGCACCTTTAACAAGTTTGAAGAGACACAGTAAGGAAGCACAGTAGGGAAAAGTCCAGTATACATATAATTTACATCATTATTTAGGATCCTTTCTTGAGATAACAAATTAGAACCTATTAGAACATATTAGAACCTATGACCAGAGCTGTACTTGAGGATATCTGTAGCCAAGCATTCTGTGATTTCTCTAGTGAAGCAAAGGGAGGAAAAAAAAAAAAAAGCCCAGAATTTGATTACAAGTCATTTAACCTCATGCATGGCCTAGCTGGTTCTGAAAGTTAACATTTCCCTATTTTCCCTATTTCTGAACACTAGCTTCTAGTATAGAAAAGCTTAAATTAAAGCACTGAAATGTTCCAGTCAAAATATTCCTACTCATTCTTATCACTGCCACTTCCTCTACTAGATCCTGCCTCTCCCTTCTATAACCCAACACAAGCTTTTAAGTAAGCTGTCAAACTTTGAACATGCTGTTTTGCAGCCCAATAGTTTTGATATTTTTGTAAAATTACATCTGCAATAATTTTAAAGTTGAGCTGAAAGACAGAATTTCAGTTCATGAAAAAGGGGATTTTTTGAAAATCTATTTCCTCCCTAATTATGATGAAAAATCAAAATGCCAAACTCTAAGGAAAAAAAAAGAAAGTGTATTTTAGGACAATCAAAACAGATCTGGGAGGGAGGAGGGGGGTCACTGTTCATCCACAACTCTGCACGCAGCATTTTGAGTGCCTGCCACACGGAGCTGGGAAGTCATGCTGCCCAGTAAACTGGGGAGTCAGGCATCACCTCACATGAGAAGATGAGAAATTTAACAGTATGTCATGGGGCAGCTGAGAAGCATTAGCATCAAGACAAATCTACAGTCAAGCAGACAGAGAAATGGGCAAAACAGCTCACAGGAACAGGAAACCAGGCCCTCTGGTTTCCACCAAAACCATTGCTGGAACTGACTTGTTCCACTGAAATATTTCAATCCAATTATATCAGTATTTTTCAAAAAGAGATGTTAGAAACATTGCAGTTCCAACTGATTGAATATCATCTCTGCAATTTTGCAGAAATTAGGCACAGCATGACTGTGGAAAATTAGAGACTTAAAACTCATCCAAGACCTAGAGTAAACTGAAAGAATTAACTTAGCTACTTTTGATAGCCCTGTAACCAACATCCATACTAAACTGCAGACTCAAGTTGAAAAAGTGAAATTCTCTAGATGGGATATTACAAGGTAATTTTAAGTCACAAGAACATTACCATGGCTAAGGATGGTGAAAAGAAAAAAAATCAATATCATGCAGAATTTCAAAAAGCAAAACAGAACAACAGCATTAGCAAGTGGTCATTTCATTCCTGTGTATTCCACTTAAATCTCCATTACACTTGTAATATCGAGGCCAACGAGGATGGACCAGGGTTACCTCCTCCATGGCGCTGATGAGGTTCTGGGTGGATTTGCTGATCTCTCCGCCGGCAGGCGGCAAGCCGCTGCCGTGCGTGAAGAAGGCAGAGCCAGCCGCGGTATGTCCATTCATGTCCACAGTGTAACTCGCTTTCACAGGACAGCAAAGCTGGTTGTGTAGGATAAAATATACCACAAAGACATAAAGACCCTAAAATGCAGGGACAGAAAAAAGCACATCAGTGTTTGAAATGGAGGTGTCTTCGATCACACCTGGAACCTCGTCTCAGCAAGGTCCCGTATGCTGTAGCAGATGTCTCTCTTCACAGTAACAGGCAGTGCTTCATAGCATTTTGGTTAGTAAAGAAAGATGTCAGTGTCAATTAGAGATTTGGAAATTAAAGAGTAGGTTCATAACCTGAGGCCTCTGGCAAAACATAATCCCTCTCCCCCAAAAGAAGAGTTAAGAAGAAAAATTATTATTTGGTTGAACCCACACAGTTGCAGAGCAAAGCCAAGCTCACAACAACAGAAGCAACTTAAGTTTCATAGCTGTCGTAAGAGGAAAAATGTGAGTTATGAACTTCTTTACAATAGAAGTTGGCAACTGGCTTCTAACCACATTTTTTTTTGTTCTCTTATTGACCTGCTGGCTCTTTACATACTTGCCCCAGCTTCAGTCTCACGCAAACTGCATTGCTGCCGTCACAGATACCAAGGAGCAGTT